TACAAGAGCACACAAATGTAATGCAGCTTGTCATGATTTGGCAAAAATATGGAATCTACACAAAGACAAAATGTACTCGTATATAATAATGACCATTTATTACATCACAACCATTTCTTTACACACACACACACACACACACACACACACACACACACACACACTTTATAGAAACACAGTGAGGGAAAAAGTCATGTTTTACTAAACCATGAGCCTAAAAGATAAAGGACTGCTTAGATATTATGGTGATAGGCTCCGAAATAACCATTTAAAATTGGTTTTTAAAAATACACACCAGATAATAGCATTAGGAAGAAAACAGAGCAGAGAGAAGAGAGGAAAGACAAGCAAATAAACAATGAGAGGGAGGGAGCAGGAAGGCAAACAGCAGCAGATTATAAGACTAGATAAAAGAAAAATAAGACAAGACTCACACCTTATGACAGAGATTGCTATCACATCACAGATCACATGGGCACGGGTTGGTTCAGTACCATTTAAGTCACAAGTAAGTAAGTTCACTAAAAGTCTAAAAATCTACTTTTAAAATAATTGCACACAAAAAAACTACATTAAAAGAATATTAAGGTTGCAAACTCAAGCACCGTGCAACCTTAATTCAGTTCCCGTGTGCATATTCATTATGAGAGTTTTTAAGCACATGATTGCACACTAGTTTTGCCACAGGATCCCTGCCTCTTTTATAACTTGAGTTTACAGCTTGGCCAAATATGTGCAGATTTTCATGGAGATGACAAAAGGCATATCCCTGACACTAAAACCACTCCCCATCAAATTTTAAGTCCCTGCTCCAAGCATTGGGGAGGGAAGGGGGAGGAAGGGGGGCGCTAGAGCTGTTCAAAGAAAAGATTGCCAGATTTTTTTTAAAATATGGGTAATCCACGTATTTATCCCTAGCCCAGTCTTTGAAACAGCTAAACAATTTTAGCTGAAATTTTCCAAAAAATTCAGCCCAACTTGCACAGCCAGCATGTAAAATTTCAGCTCAAATGGTTACAGTTTGGCAAAGTTAAAAGAAACTGAAAAAAACTGAAACTGACTCTTAAAATGGGAGTCAGGCAAAATTTTACACAGGGCAATGTGGAATGTTTGATGCAAAAAAGAAATAAATTAAATTTAAAATAATCCAGAGAACAAAAATTTCAATATGGCCCCAATATCATGGCAAGTCAGTTCTTAGGTCTAACAAGCTTGACAATATTCTTTTAAAAATCTACCTGAAGAAACGTTAACTTTACTCTCAACTCTGAATGTGAACTTTATTTTTCTTAAAGAAAAAAGTGCCTCTGGATATTGCTTTATAATAATAAGAAAAATAGAAAAAGAACATGAAATAGAATAGAAAAGCAATAAATCCTTTCTTGGGTCTTTGTCCTCCCAGACTCCAAACGTATCAAAGTCCAAATGGCACATCTGTTTAAAATGTCTTTTTCTGTTATAGCCACTTAGACACAGGAGACCTGTTCAGAAACAAGTTTGTGAAATTATGCTGGGAAAGGAATGAATGAGTGTTTAATTGATTTGTCTTCAAAATCAACAGAAATAAAACTAATTTAATTGGCTTGTAATAGATCTCAGCCATTATACAAAAGTTGTTTCCTCCAAAGTGTTTCAAATATCAGGAAAAATATTAATACTGGTGATAAACTAATACAACCAAACAACCCCCCCAAAAAAGTTCCGGAATATGTTCTGTACAGTACATATTTAGTTTTTGATCATGGAATGGAGTTTAAAGCACTTGCTTAGAAATCTACAGCAACAATGTCATATATTTTTGTGACACAGTGGCCACTTAATTTTTTTCCGCAGTGCCCATTACTACATTATCTGACCAGTGAAGCAGTACATTAAAGCTGCTTGCCATTGTCCACAGTGGATTTCATACAGGAGTCCTCTCATAGCCATAACAAATTCTAGGAACATAAAGTTCTGATTTGTTTTTTTTCCCTGTTTGTTGAAACAGTCACTCAAATGGTAACAGAACCCCAACCGCACCCCCTGTATTTCCATACAATTCTGTATAATATGACATGAACTCAGAAGTTTAATTGGTTGATTGCTACAGTGAAAGACCCCCCTCCCCTCTTCTAAGCAGAACTTTAAATTTGATTTTAATTTTGATTGTAATTAAAGGTAACTTTAGGATCTCTGCCTATACACACATTGTTTTTAAAAAAAACCCACTAATCTACAGTGTACTCTGAAATTTATATATATATTTTTCTGAGCTTCTAAATTCAATAAAATTAGATTCCCAATTTTATTTCTGAAGATGAAAGAGTTTCCTAAAAGTGAAACAAAGTTTACTATTTGTGATAACCCAAACCATAAACCCCTCCAAACCTGGAAGAGTTAAGATAAGAAGAAAACCTTGGAAAAAATGACCAAGCACATTTTCTTCATCTTGTTTCCTCAAAAACCATACGAAAGTGTTGCACTCTTTTTTCATAGAACCCAAGATTATTCTGTATATCATATTATATTATGCTAATACTTTCTGAAATGTTGTTTTCCTTGTTCATTTCTTGGTGGTTCTACAATTTGTTTTCTTGTCTATCTGGATAAATGAAACCACCATAGACTAATATTTTAGTCTTTTTTAGAAGCACTTCCCCTTATCATATTTCCTAGTCTTCCTGCCATTTTGCTTTGGAAATTTTATCATCATTCTGCTATGGAGGTATTAATCTACTAAAGATTTATTTTTAAATCAAGAAGTACCACTCTTCATGCAGCGAAGATAATGTGTTACATTTAATTCAGAAGTTAGCTCTTCCCTTATGAAAGGTCAATGATTTGCTAATGAGTCAGACTGAAAAAAAAGGTGCTTTGCAATACTAACATTTTCTGCGATGTAAGTTGGAGCAGTGCAGTGTGATTGTTCATTGCTATGGTAAAACAGAAACAGAACCAGTAACATTAAAGATCCTGGTGACAGATGAAGTAACTGATATTTCCCCAAAACATTATTTAAAACTTTGAAAAAATATTGCACTTGTATCAAAGTGTTTTGTGAAATATTAAATGCAGTTTGCAGGAGAAAATCTTTCACCAACCACTGATAGTTTACTCCGGAAATTATTACATGATGTAACTTGGTTTACATATGTGGTTTTCCTTTGACCTGTAGCATAGTGTTTGATATATTAATAGGTTGAAATAAAACTTAGCTTTAACAAACACTGCAGAAAAACAATACAAGAATATGGTTAGTATTTGCAAAAGATTGTTTCTCATTTGACTCATCGTATGCAGACATGACAATCTCATATTAAAGACCTGTACAATTTCAGAACAGTTTTAACAATGGTTCCTTGCTGAAGAAGACTTTTGATAATAAGTGTACCTACTTCCCCTCTTATATTTCAGATATGTGCTTTTTCAGATACCCATTTCTCCCCCTCAGACCAGATTCTCTTTCTGCTTGATCCTGGAGTGAAATCATAATGTTGCATTTATGACTTCACATACTTTTATGGCAACACAATGATGTCACAAAACAGGATTAATGACTTCACTAATGGAGCAAGAAACAAGGAGAAAATGAGATCCAATTCACACACAAGAAGAAAGAACCTGGCCAATTAAGTAAATTGTGTACATATTCTCTGTTGAAGCTTGCTCTAGTGTGAAAATTCCTTGTATACAGAGAGAGAATATCATAAAACTGCCCACACCTCAGCAGATAATGCTTCACAGAGGAAAATGTAGTCCCTTATCCTATAAATACTTAATCACGTGTAATTTTAATCACGAGCCTTTATTCTTATAGCCATCAATGGATTATTCCCATTTGTAAAATTGCTTCCATGTATAAATATTTGTAGAATCAGACCTTAGAGTATGTATAATATTGGCATCTTCTCTAGTGAGTTTACAGGGGCCAGAAATACTGTAGAGGGCTTTCTGCCTCCATAAAAGATGGAAGAGTGTCAAACTGTGTAGCCAATAGATGTCCCCTCAGCTAGGAATTGATGTGCTGTGTGACAGCCACTATTACATGCAATCAAGAAAAAGTTGAACTGAGTAAAAATACCAATTCAGAATGGAGGGCTTGGCGAAACACAAAACAACTTTACTTTAACCAATGAAGGTTCAGAAGGCTCTGTCTGGGTGAAATGAGAAGCCTTCAATTCCACCAGACATTAAACTGTTATTATTTAGGAAGGTTCTAAGCACTTTACAAACATATAAGAAACTTCTCCAAACAACTTACAATATAATCATTGACACCAAGGAGTAGGGTAAAAGATTCACAGAGGAAACCATTATGATCAGAGGATACAATGAGTTTCCCTTTAACTTCCAACTCCTTGACTTTTATTGCTTTTATTTTTAACTCTTGCCTATTAGCATTTTTAATATAAATTCAAGCCAACTTTCTATTTTCATTTAGCTTTTAAATTCTTGCCTGTTTTTTTTAATTATCTTATTAAGAGATAGGACGTATGGATTAGTTTAACTACGAAAGACCTTGACCCTTTGCCTCAGCCCAGGCCTATTTTAACTTTTTTGATAGAAAACTAGCAAGAAGTCTTGCTTTTTACTTCAATAACCCATTGTGTGATCCTTTGACATCTCTCACAGTCTCTTTTTTAACTATGCCTCTTTTCCTGTCATTCTCTTCCCTCCAGTTCTCACTCACTAGTCAATTCTGACAATGCCAAAAGAACTGCTGCACAACCAAATGAGGGGGGAAATTATATGAGGAAATAAGGTTAGTAATACATATTGCTGTTTACAAATAAATACTGACAAACTATAAAATAACAACACTTGGGCTATAATTTAATTCACTTTCAGAAAATCATCATTTGTCCACATGTCTATTTTAGAAAGTGCATTGGTAATAATGATAAATACATGGTAATGAATTGCTGTTTGGCTTTCCTCTCCTCTTAGGCATGTAACCAGATTCATTTTTCAAACTCCAAGAAATGGGAAAAAAAAAATGTAAGAGAAAGAAATGACATTACCTGTTATAAGGAAAAAACAAAATGGTTGGGAGACGATCCGTCATAAATTCCCATGGAAGGTCATTTCGAGTGACATCAATTCTGTTAAAAACGAAACAAAAAGAAAAAATAAACTGATAAAGATGCAGCTGAACATTCCATCTATTACTTTTGCTTCCGAAATATCTGGTTTGTTTTGTTTTTTATTTTAGAGGGGGATTAGAAGTCACAAGAGAAAATATGCCTAAATGTATTCTGACACAAGAAACATGGTGAAGACAAATTAGAAGAGTTACACATAATACTCAAGACAACTAATCCCAGTTTAGCTAATTGTCATAACAGATCTCTAGCTGATATTTTCCTGCCAGAAAATGAAATTAGTATAAATATTCGCAATTTTCTTATTCAGTAATTAATTAAACCTGGACTAATCATTGCCACTTACTATGTGTACTGGGAAGAACTCTTGTTTTGAGACATGCTGATCTGACAACCATTGGCTGCAGTTTCAATCATTTATACCACCGGTTCTCAAATTATGGGGCAGGCCTTCCAAGTGAGGCATGGGAATATATCAAAGGAGGCGTGAGCTGTGTGCTTTTGGGGAGGGGGGGGAAAGAGCTCTGACTGTCAGCCCTGCAGAAGGGCTGTGCACACCCGGGAGGTGAGGATAAAGGAGACAGCTGGAGCTCTGCCACCCAGGCTCGGACTCTTCCCCCACACCCTGGACCCCAATCCCTCACCTGAAGGTGGTGGGGGTCTGACTGTTAGCCCAGGGTGGCAGCAGTAGCGCAGAAGTAAGTGTGGCAATGGAGTGATAAGTCTGCTGTGAAAAGTGATATTGACAAATATCATTTTTCACATCGCCACCCCTACTTCTGTGTTGCTGCTGCTGGCGCAGCGCTGCCTTCAGAGCTGGGTGTCCAGTCAGCAGCCACTGCTCTCCACTCTGCCTTCAGAGCTGGGTGGCAGTATCTGAACTTTTGGGGGGGATAGTGTGTAAACGACTACAGGAACAAAGAAGGGGGGCCCAATCAAATAAGTTTGAGAACCCCTGATTTATACAATGGTAAGTGGAAAGAAAGCCATCATTAGAAATTTTCTATTTTGCAACTGTGTAGGATGTATGGTGTCAGCTACATTTTGTCTTGGGAAAAATATGGAAAGACATTTGGTATATCCTCACTGTTCATAAAGTAAATTAGTAACACAGCAATTAATTAAAAAAACCTTTATCTTGATTCCCAGAAAACCAGATTTCCCATTATAAACAACAATATGAGAGAGAGATTTTCAGACCTCAGAATAGGAAACACCTCATATGGCTCATCACAGCAAGCATCCATTCAGCTGTATGCTTATACACAACTATTTATCACTTATTCCAGGACACCACAAGTTTAGTGTGCTCTGGACAACATTGAGACTTTTGAGTTTCATCCATTATAATAGGAGAGCACCATCTTACAGATGGGAACAGATTGTCAATAATCTATAGTTGTTTATTATTACAGCAGGTTGACTTTAAATTAGCAGTGCTGTTTTTTTTAAAGTCTTAACTGTGTTGGCTCTGGCTACACTGAAGACTTACTCGTTGAGCCTTGGGGCTTGTCCATGCAGAGTTTTTGTACCGTTTTAACTATAATGGTTTAGAAACTGATATTGTTGAAGTAGTACAAAAAAATGCATGTAGACTAGCCCTTTTACTGACTGATGGGAAGCTTAAATAGCAGGAGGCATGAGACTGTTTTTGTGGCAGTGGGCCCTACAACATGGAACTTGCTCCCCAATGAAATTTGTCCAATCCCTTTATTTCCCTTTCTAACCCCCCCCCCCCACATTTGTTTTTGTGTGCTTGCACTTTAATAACAGTGGTATATTATGTTTGTATTATGTTGTACCTACTTTTAAACCAGGAGGTGGATTCTGTTACAGTTAATCAGAACCATCTGACTCCTGTGCAGGAAAGGAAAAGAATGTGGAGAGTAGCACAAGTAACCACTCCACTACCTCTGGGAATGAGAGAGAAGATGGGAACAGAAACAGAATAGGCCCTGCAATAAAACTGAAATTCAGCAATCAAAGCTCAAGGGAAGCTGGTGCCAAGACTGAGAGTGAAATTTTGTATTTACTTAGAAAAGCAGGTTTTAGGACTGCTTTAACAGCTCATTAAAATAAGATAAAGGAGATAAATGTGCCATTTTAAAAATTAAATAAAAGGATTTTTTTCTAATACTAATTTTTTTCTTATAGTTAATTAAAAAAACTATATAGCTAGCTGGTTGTCAGACCATTGAAGACGTTCTTGCTCCATTATTAGCCTAAGCTATGTATGGTGCAACAGGTTAAATATTATCAGTAAGAGGGAATGGCAAAACTTGGATGAAGTATTGTATAGATCAGTGGTTCTCAATCTATGGGGCAGGCCTTCCAAGGGAGGCAAAGGAAAATGTCAAGGGAGGCACGAGCTGCGTGCCTTTTTTTTTTTTTTAAAAGAGGTCTGGCTGTCAGCCCCAAGTGGCTGGGGCTCACACACAAGGGCCACGCACACCTGGAACGCAGGAATAAAGGGGGCAGCTGGAGCTCAAATATCATTTTTCACATTGCCACTCTAACTTCTGTGCTGCTGCTGGCGTGGTGCTGCCTTCAGAGCTGGGTGCCCAGCCAGCAGCCGTTGCTCTCTACTCTGCCTTCAGAGCTGGGTGGCAGTATATGTACTCATGGGAGGGGACATGTGTGTAAACAACTACAGACACAAAGAAGCGGGGCCCAATCAAATAAGTTTGTGAACCCCTGATATAGATTACTTATTGAGAGTGTAATTTGTCCCAGCATAAATGATAGGTTCCCACTTAAAGTCTTAAAAATTGGGCTTATGTGATAAATAGGCCTCAGGCTGGCCCTTGGTCAAAGTGAATTTCAGCCACAGTGAAATGACAAAAGATGCAACTCAAGAAGAGTTTGCAAGTGCTGATGTAAAAGACATGGCAGTAAGGGAATGCCAAGGTGGCACTGCTAAGCACTCAAAAGTCTTGCTCCTTGCACAATATAGCCTTGGATTCATAATCCCATATTATTTCTCAAATAATACAATATAATATTGCACATGGTTTTGCTACAGCTTTTGGAGGAGTGGTGTGAAAAAGTTTGCACTCTTGCTGCCCATGATTTACCAGGTTCTGTGTTTTGCAGTCTATCACGAACTGTGTACTAGATAAAAAAATCACTTTATTTAAAAGTGCAAAAAAACCTAGGAGGACAGCAATCCAACCACCACCCTGTGCTAAACCTTTTAGCACTACTTACATGAAAACAAAATGTACATACAAAGGAGAGAGAAAGCATCTACCCAAAGTACAGTATACATTTTTTCTTTCTTCTCTTTACATATATTTTTCCTCTGAGCTGATGAGCTCACTCAACTCAATTTTGAGTAAATAGACTAAATTGGAATCTAATAGTAATATTCTAAACTTATGTAATGTTATAATACACTGCTTATAACAAATTCATGGGACTTGTATCTAATTTGACAGACATGCAATCTTAATTTAAAATTAAACATAAATTAGTGGAAATTAATGGCATTATATCAACTTTACAAGCTACAAAATATCCATATATGCATGTCTGGAAGTCTAAGTAGTCACAACAGTATAGTTAAAAATACTGTGGAAAATGAGGATAGATTCTTTTACCTCGCCACAGTGAAGTTATTTGGAGGCAGAAGTCGCGCTAGTTGGATAAAGATGTGATTAAGAGAAGCACAGAATCCACACCATTGCGCATAATAGAGCAGCAAGACATCCTGGAGGTGGAGGGGGGGGGAGAAGAGGGAAGAGAAATTCAGTTAGCAACTGGGGTTTGTTTACATAAAGCAGAAATAGTAATCACTGGGTTAAACAAAACATTTGAGCTATTTAAAAACAAAAGAAAATGTAACCTCATTTTTCTACACCCCCTGTCAACCAAGCAATGGGCCCAACTCATTGGTGCCCTGCAGCTCCTGAAGCAAAAAGAAAGAAGAAAACTGTTGTAGGGCCCATGGGGAAATTTTCTCAATATGAGGGGTATCCTCAGCAAGTGCAAGGTTGATATAATGGCTCGGTGCCACACCCAGCAGGAATCCCTGATGCAGGGGGCATGTTGATAGCATAGCCTGGGAAAAGGAGATATGGCCTGGGTTACAACTGGCAGCCAGGTGCAAGTCTTCTGGGCGCCAACCTCTGTTGGGAGCTCAACCAGCCCATGATGGCCCCACCATCAGGGAGATACAAAGGTGACATAAAACCATCTTTAATCCCTCATCATTCTCTGCACCAAGATCATCTATAGCACTGAGGTGAATTGGGACCAATCACTAAAATGGAACGAGCAATCTGACTCTTGGATGGCACTGACAACATAGCCACTCTATACTGTTATACTGATGCACCAACAAAACATATGTGGCTCTGTGCTCACTTCATGTCATCTAGCAGTCATCCATAAACCATCCTTCCTTTAATGTTCAAAACCAGAAAAATGACCAAACAGGATTACTTGGTTTCCACTAAATGCAAATAGAGTATCAAAGTATCTTATAGGTCTCATGATTGTTCTTTCATAGTTTCAAACAATTTAAGGCCAGAAGGGACCATTAGATCACCTAGTCTGACCTCCTGTATATCACAGGATATTAAATTTCACTCCGATACTCCTGTGCTGAACTCAAAGATTTTAGTTACACTAAAGTTCTTCAATCTTCAGGAAACTAAACCGTGCACCACAGGCAGAGAACAAGAGAGTCAAGGTGCCCCCAGTGTCCAAGGCCTGAGCAATGATTATGCCCAGATGACTCCAGCAGGTGAACCAGCACCATGCTGGAGAGGAAGGCGAAAACCCCCAAGGTTCCAGCTAATGTGACTTATGGGAAATTTCCTTCCGAATCCCAAATCTGGCAATTAGTATGACTATGAGCATGTGAGCAAGATACACCAGCCAGGCATATACTGGTCCACCCCCCGTCCACTGTCTTGTCCCCTACTGTGGGGAATCTCTGCTGCTTCAGATGAAGAAAATCTCCCTCTCTGCCAATGAATACATCATGCAGAGGGGGAAAAAATCCTTCTTGACTGCTGCAGGCAATTGGCTGAAGCCCTGAAGCATGAGATTTGATTATAGTCATTATTTTAATTCAGAGCTGCAAGTATTATGAACATGTTGAGGGAAATGCAGGCAGTCCTGTTAACCCCAGGGCCCATGAAGGAAGGGTTGGACAGGTTTTCTCAAATTCACAGATACTCAGATTCCAAGACCAGCCTTTCATTCCCATTTAAATAATGGTCATTGTACATTTTAAATATAAAATCTCTGGGGAACTCTAGAGAACTAAGCAGTTTTCCTGCAGCTAGCACACTAGGCACTGGGGACACAGGAAATTGAATATTGCACATTCATTCATTCTCTGCTATCCTAGTAGCCAAAGAATATTAGTCCAAATTCAGTCACACGTTTAAATAATCAAATTATATAAAGTACTTTAGGCACCCTTCAAAATTACACTGTATATCAAAAAATTTCACATCATGAAATCAAAAAGCTTTTTATTATGGATTTTTGTGATGTATGCTTTTAAAGTACTACTTTTTGTTGGGATTTTTGTTTCTTTGTTTTACAACCTTCAATTTTCTCTGTTATAGTTACTTCCCAATCACTTTTATTCACTATTTTGTACCTTAGTTCCAGTAAGACAGCAAGTGGCTCCCTCTGCAACCAGCACAATCTCTACAACCTTAACTGGTTCATAAAAGCAATGTTCATCATACATATCTCCAATTCCATTCAAGACTGAGTAGGCTTGGGACCTGTTATTGACTTTGAGTCTCAAACTCTACTTAATTTGTTAAGAATTGCCACCATGAAAACAAGGGCAAAGCAGGACTTCTCCATCCCCACAATTATATATGTAATTCAACCACATTTAGCAAATAAGAATACAAAAGGCTAAACCACAGCTATGACAAATACACACAGCACAGGAAGGCAGAGGGTGGGTGTCTTCAGGGAACTGGTTTGGCTGATTTTCTGGCTGCTTTGTGCCATCAGAGTGGTCTCCTAAATTTAAATGACTGTGAAGTACAACTTTCATGGAGTGCCCTTGTTTAAAATTATGTACACAATTAGTGTAACTGCATGGATGGGAGAGGAGGAGACCCTTTAGTTTTAAACAATGAAAATTCAGAAGACTGAATTCCGCAATCCTATTCTTCAAAATGTGATTAATCCCTCGATGTAACTGCAGTAATGAGCTGTACCTTTTCACTCAAAACCACCACATCACGAAAGGTGGTAGTAGTCACTTCGGTGATTATGTGCTGTGCAGGAAGATGAACTGAAGAGTCACCAACAAGATGCCTTTTCAAGGGACTGTAGAGAATGCTGAAGTTTTGAATGAAGTTCTCTAAAATGAAAGAAGGACATTGAGAAGGTTATTCCAGCTTCATTATATCTGTAATATCTAGGCTGCCTATTTTTACTTTGGGTTTCAGAAGACAAACTGACTTATGGCATAAAAGAAAAATACAAGTCTAGTTTACAAGCCCTAAATATTATTTCTGTAGTTTTACCTCAGTTTCTGATTAACGATCATTCACATGGCAACAGAATGCAGAAAACTGCCTTGGGTTATCTTTTGCCTTGATTACTACAACCTTCTCTTCACTGGTGTCATTGCTTTTTACCTTGCTCTTACTCTAGTTGAGGGGTTCTCAACCTTTTTCTTGTTGAGGCCTCCCTCAACATACTATAAAAACTCCAGAGCCCAGCAGGACTCAGGGCTCTGGGCCAGGGAGGGGGGATCCTTGGGCATAGGCATAGTTTGACTTCAATTTTTTTTTCTTTTGGGGGGGGGGGTCAAGGGTTGGCAGGGCTCGGACCAGCTCCGCACAGCGGGGTCCAGGGAGAGAGAGCCACCTCCATCCCAACTCTCCTCAGCAGACCACCCGCCTGTCTGGGTTGTGAGGAGCCGCAACCAAAAAATATAACTCAAAGGTGGGACTCAGCTCAAAAAGTTTGAAAACCGCTCAGGGTGCAGGCAGGGGGTATCTAGGGGCTGTGTGCAGTGAGGGGTGTAGCTCAGGGAGTGGATAGCTAGGGACTGTATGTGGGCAGAGGGTAGCTTAGGGTGCACGCAGGGGATATCTAGGGGCTGTGTGCAGTGAGGGGTGTAGCTCAGGGAGCAGGGAGAAGGATAGCTAGGGTCTGTGTGCCAGGAGGGCTCCCCTGCGGTGGCTGCTCCCTGAGGGCTCTGCAGGCCCCAGGGTCGGGTCCTCCCACCTAGACAGCTTTTACCAGCTGCGTGAGCAGTCAAAGGGGGTTGGGAGCTGAGGAGCAGCCACAACCCTGGGCACCAGCAGCAGACGAGGGAAAGCCACGGCTGCCCGCTCCATGGTGCCACCAGAGGAGCAGCTGCCCTGCACTGCCTAGCTCTGGTTTCCCACCAATCTGGCCAGAGAGCTAGGCCTGAGGTGGACTGGGGGAGAGGAGAAGGTAGGACATGGAGCTGCCCCCGGACTGCCTCACTCTGGGTAAGGCACTGCAGTTTGGGGGGGGCAACACCCTTGTGCCCCCCAACTCTGCCCATGGACTCAGGGCTTCAGTCCTGCATGGCTCCCAGCTTCAGGCAGGGGGAGGAGGGGCACTGGGGCTCCTGGCTTCAGCCCCGCGCCACTCCCAGTGCGGGCTGGGGGGTGTACCATCGGCTTCAGCCCCGCGCCATTCCCAGCCTTGGGGGCGGGGGGAAACTGCCGGCTTCAGCTCTGCACCACTCCTGGCTTGGGGGGGGTGGGAGGGGGGAGGAGGTGCCAGCTTCAGCCTCACGCCACTCCCGGCTTCAGCCCCGCAGGGGGGTGCCAGGGTTCGGGGCACTGGGTTTCAGCCGTGGGGCCCCATGGACTCCCTGAAAGGGCTCATGGGCCTCCAGGGGGCCACAGACCCCGGTTGAGAACGCTGCTCTAGTCTATCCAAAATGCTGCAATACAAATTTCCTCTTCTGTGATCAGACCACATGGTCAGTCCCAATTAGAATCCTTTCACTGGCTTTCCTTCACATTCTGCGCCAAGTTCAAGTTTCCAGTGCTCCTCTTCAAGACTCTGCACGATTCCACTCCTACTTATATCTATGCTCTTATTTCTTCCTACTTTCCCTCCCACTCTCCTTTGCTCTGCCCAAGTCCCTCTTCTAATTACTTCTTTTATATCCTTCCCCCCTAGTCATCTTTCATGCCTATGTGCTTGAAACAGTCTCCTCTCTTGTGTGTGTCAAATGACCACATTCCCCCCATACAACTCTCTTTCCATAAAACTCACTTCTTCTCAGACAACTTTGAACAATAACCCACCAAAGATAGATATTAAAATAAAACACCACTCATCTACACTGCCTTGAGACTTCATTTTCTATCACGTGTTATAATGTCAAAACTATATTTCCTGTTCAATTTAGATCCAGGCCATAATTCTGCTATGTACTTTATGATGCCAAGTACATTCAAGAACTGAAACTCGCATTATACAATGCCAGATGATACTCAAATAATAATTTAGTCATTTGGAAATTTTCTATATTGAGAACACTAGCATGAAAACTAAACAAAATCAGGATTAAATTAATGACCAAAGTGAACAGGAAAAGCAAATTATAGGTACCTGAACAGGTGCATTTGCATATAATAGTAAATTCAACCTTATTTTTAAAATTTTAACTCAACATTCATGAAAATCAAGACCAAACCAAAGCTCCATGTTTTTTAGAGCAACTAGATTTTGAAAGACTATGGGATGTTTTTAGCTGTGGTGTACTTAAGAAACAAAAAAGATGAGGTCTGTCTTTTTAACTGTATTAAGTGCTCGTGATATTTTTTTAGAAACAATCTGTAAAGTTTCTCATTGGGCCAACAGTTAGATCTATTACTGTAATTAGCTTCTAACTGCAAGTTAATCTGTGTTTAAAAATAGCTACTCTACTTAAGGAGTATGGAAGGAATATGGGAGTTGCATTTTTGTTTTTGTTTTTAAATATCTTAGTCACTGAGGTATTTGCTTAAGTTATTTTTCAATTTCTGCTGCAAAATGTAACTATACAACTGGCCCAGGGCAAGAAATGATGCAAGAACAATGTAAATACACCTATCTGAGCAACTTATTTTAATACTCAATTATGAACACACATGAATTTGCCTCTCTTCCCATTCACCACTGCCTACATTACAAGGCTGATTTTTACATGAATTTGCCTCTTCCCTTTTAACACTGCCCGAATTAAAGCCATGATTTTCAAAACTGTATGCTTGCAATTTCATGCCCAAAAGGTGCACTTAATTTTTGCAAGAAATTAACCAGACTGGTATGCAAAGTGGGTATTTTCATGTGTAAAAGGCTAGTTATATATCTTGTGTGTGACTTTCAAATAACTGGACATGCAGGTTAGGAATGTAATTCACATGCTCTTCTGAGCAAATGACTGCACACATGTAGTTTTGGAAATAAGCGTGTACTAGTCTGGAAAAAAGTATCTAATGGCAGAAAAAAACCCAAATTACTAAGTTAATTTAGAAATGGTTTCAAATACAGTTAGAAAAACAAAGGTAACATAATTTGACTAAATACACCTCATATCTCTGTCTTCATAAATTCATTCTGACAAAAGTATGTGCACACAAGAACATAACAACTGCCATACTGGATCAGACCAATGATCTATCTAGCCCAGTATCCTGTCTCTAACAGTGGCCAATAGCAGGGCTGCAGGGGGAGTGTACACAGTAGGGCAACTTTGGAGAGTTCCTCCCGGGTCTTTCCCTGCCAGTTTCTGGCAGTCAGAAGTTTAGGGTCACCGTGAGCATGGGGTTGCATCTGTAACCATGTTGGCTAATAGCTGTTGATGGACCTATCCTTCGTGAATTTCTCTAGTTCTTTTTTTAACCCAATTTTTCTTTTGGCCATCACAAGATTCTACAGCAATGAGTTCCATGGCTAACTGTGGGTTGTGTGAAAAAGTACTTCCTCTTGTTTGTATTAAACCTGTTGCCTATTCATTTCATTGGGTGACCCCTGGTTTTTGTATTGTGGGAAAGAGTAAATGACACTTCTCTATTCATTTTCCCCCACACCATTTATGATTTTATAAACCTCAGTTATATCTCCCCTTAATTGTCTCTTTTCTAAGCTGAACATCCCTTATCTTTTTAGACTCTCTTTGGATGGAAGCCATTCCATACTCTTAATCATCTCTGTTGCCCTTCTCTGAACCTTTTCCAGTTCCACTATATCCTTTCTGAGAGGGACAACCAGAATTGGACACAGTATGTGCACCTTGGATTTATACAGTGGCATTATATTTTCTGTCTTATTTTCTTATACCTGTCCTAATAGCTACTAACACTCTGTTAGCCTTTTTGACTGCTGCTGCACACTGTGCTGAAGTTTTCAGAAATCTATCCATGACGATTCAGATCTCTTTCTTCAACAGTAACAGCTAATATAGAACCCATCATTATATACGTGTAGTTGGGATTATTTTTTCCAATGTGCATTGCTTTGCACTTATCAATGTTTCATTTCATTCATCAATTTCATCTGCCAGTTTGTTCCCCGGTCACCCAATTTTGTGAGATCCTCCTGGAACTTTTCACAGTCAGCTTCACAATCTTAAATACTTTTGTATCATCTGCAAACTTTGCTACTTCACTGTTCACACCCTTTTCCAAATAATTAATGAATATGTTAAACAGCACAGGTTCCAGCACAGATCTTTGGGAGACCCCACTACTTACCTCTTTCCATTGTGAAAACTGACCATTTATTCCTACCCTTTGCTTCCTATCTTTTAACCAGTTACCGATTCATGTTATCCCATGACTAATTTCCTTAAGAACTTTTGGTGAGGAACCCTGTCAAAGACTCTCTGAAAATCCAAGTACTGCATATTGACTGAATCACGCTTATCCACATGCTTGTTGACACCCACAAATAATTCTAATAGATTGGTAAGGCATGACTTCCCTGTACAAAAGCAGTGTTGATTCTTCCCCAACAAATCATGCTTATCTATGTGTCTGATCATTCAGTTCTTTACTATAGTTTCCACCAATTTGCCCAGGACTGAATTTAGGCTCACTGGCTCCTAATTGCAAGATTATCTCTGGAGCCTTTTTAAAAGCTACATTACAGTCACCTTCCAGTCATCCAGTACAGAGGCTTGTTTCCGTGACAGGTTACATACTACAGTTAGTAGTTCTGCAATTTCATATCCAAGTTCCTTCAGAATTCTTGAGTGAATACCATCTGGTCCTGGGGACTTCTTATGGCTTAATTTATCAATTTGTTCTAAAACCTCTTGTATGATAGTATTTCAGGTTTGTAACCAAAAGGAATAGTTCTGCAGTGGGTATCTCCTCCACATCCTCTACAGTGAAGACCAATGTAAAGAATTTGTTTAGCTTCTCTCAATGGCCTTGTTTTCCCTGGGTGCTCCTTTAACAGTCTGGTCTTCTAGTGGCCCACTTCCTGTTTGTCAGGCTTCCTGCTTCTGACATACTTAACAAAATTCTTACTGTTAGATTTTGCATCTTTTAGCAAGTTGCTTCTCAAATTCTTTGTTGGCCTGCCTTATTATACTTTTACACTTAACCTGCCAGAGTTTGTTTCCTTCCTATTATCTTCACTAAGTTTTGACTTTCAAATTTTAAAAGATGCTCTTTTGCCTCTAAACGGCTTTCATTTACTCTTCTGTTTACCCATGGTGGCATTTTTTTGGTCCTCTTATTGTCTTTTCTGATTCGGGGTATACATTTAGTCTGATCCTCTATTATGGTGATTTTAAATAGCAGGCATTTACCCTTGTGACAGCTCCTTTTAATTTCACACTAACAAGCATCCTCATTTTTGGGTAATTCCCCTTTTAAAGTTAAATGTCACCATGATGGGTTTATATTAGGGCTGTCGATTAATCGCAGTTAACTCACGCGATTAACTAAAAAAAATTAACTGCGATTAAAAAAGTTAATCATGATTAATCACACTGTTAAACAAGGTTTTATTTTTGAATGTAGGTTATTTTTGTACATAATTCTACATTTGTAAGTTCAACTTTCATGATAAAGAGATTGCACTACAGTACTTATATTAGGTGAACTGAAATATACTATTGCTTTTGTTTTTTACAGTGCAAATATTTGTAATCAAAAATAAATATAGAGTGAGCACCATACACTTTGTATTCTGTGTTGTAATTGAAATCAATATATTTGAAAATGTAAAAAACATCCAAAAATATTTAAATAAATAGTATTCTATTATTGTTTAACAGTGCGATTAATCACGCAAATAATCGCATCTTAAAATCATCTTAAACATTTTCTCTGAGGCATCAGCAGTTATTTAATTTGAGCTATGGTACACTTCTATGGTACACTTCTTTAAATCTGCTGACAATCTGGTTTTGTGGATTGACCACTTAGGGAAATTCCTATAGTTTGATGACATACCTATTGTCCAACCACCGACAAATACTATGAGGTTGAGGTTGGCAAAATTTCCACTTGAACTGAGTAAGTTATTCCTGGATTGTGAAATTATTCATTCTTTTATCATACCCTAGAACAACCCTTTGCTGTTTGATTAATTATTAAGCAGATGAAGATCCAGAATGCTTTCCATAGGCTCACTTTGCAAATTGACCTGCTTTTGTCAATAACATGTTTTTCAAAGTTATTATTCTTTACTAACTCCATCCTATCTTCATTTAATGTATTTGCTTACTTTAAATTTTGAATACAAGATTGCTGCATATCATACCTAGAGTAGATTTTATAAGTGTTTGATTCTGATCCAAGATATAGTGTGCCTCTTCCTTCAGATCAACAATGGCAGCAAATTCCTTCACATGAGTAGATCTTGATGCTCCAAGTCTCTCTGCATACATCCAAAACAAATTTGAATCCAGTAGATAGAGATTCAAGGTCTTGTTGGTCCTGCAGCTCAGGCCAGTAATGTGAGTGCCATTAACGCAAAGGTCAGGAGTAAAACAATTCCTATCCTCAATGTGAGGAATAGAATGTTGGATATCATCCTTACCTTTCTTCCCATGGGAAGAAAATGCTACTTTAGGGGTCTGAAATATGGTCTTTTCAGAACTAATTAAATTTATCAGACCCCTATTTACTGTCCTGCAACATGCAGTGTAGTAGCTAAAAGGACTATAGAAACTTAGGAAATTGCTGCATTCTATGGTATTTGATACAAATTGGAAAAAGGTATGTTCCTTGAGGTAGAAAGAGTCCAAAGCTGCTTCTATCTCTAAAAAGTTACACTGTGGTACATTGACTTTACTTGGTTTGACCCCAACGGTCTGGTTGACACAAAGCTCACAGACATTGTGAGTCCTAGAGATTGAGTGCCACTGAGGGAGCACCACCGTGTTGCAGCATGGGTACTTTGTTATGGAGTAAGTGTCTGCAACTTGTGTACGCGCATGTGGTACAATGGACTCAAAATCTGGTGAATTTGCATCTCTAAAGTGCTGAAGAACAGGTTCAGCTGCCTGGCTTTTAGTACAGTTGTTGTATTCCAAGGCCACTTTGGTAATCTATAGAAAAAACAAATTACACAGAAACGTGATCAGTTATATATCATTCATGTATCAACACAGACAATATTTGTCCCAATTTTTTTGAAATACATAAAATATATTTAGTTTTAGATGTACAATCCTGGAATTTTAGACACAGGGCCAACTCTTACCCTTCAATTTTAGTTTCTTACCAAAAGCCATAGGATGCACTGTTGCTTTATTATGAATTTAAATTAAAAAAAAAATCTCAAATATAGTATGTGCTTAAGAACACTAAAAAGATCTTCCTTTTCTACAGTCAGCTCAAAACCCTCTTTATATCATACTTGTTAGGCTTTAATAACGTTATACAGTGATGCTAAATCCTGTTATTTGACACATTATACAATATATCCATTTTCCCAAATTTTGTTTTTCTTAAAGAAGATGAAAAATAAATTAAAGCGAAATATATAATGCTCAAGACATTCTTAACATCTCATTGTGAACATAACAACAAGAGTCATCCAGTCAAATCAACTACTGATATAAGAATAAAGCTTCCTGTCCTTCTGTGGGCAGAACTCCCATTTATTTCAATAGTAACATTATCTGCTGCTCACTTCAACAGAAGTTTTGCTTGAATGATGGACTTCTGGATTTGGTCACTAAACTGAGTCCTCATTTCACTAAAGATATCAATATTGCCACTTAATTGAAAACATATGGGCATGAAAGGTTCTCTCCTTCACAAACAGTATTCTGAGTTTATACTGAAGTCAGGGTTTCCATTTCCGCAGAATTAGTGGAGGTTTGTTTTTGGTTTTGGGGGTTTTTTTATTTGTTTTTTTACACTTTTCTTCATTATGATACTAAAATTCCCTATTATGAAAATTCTTGTGTCCTAGTAGGAGTTTATTTTACAGCCATTAAGAATATGCACAGTAGCCGGGCCTCATTTACAGTAGTTACTGGGGCTTTTTCACCTACTCTTTTTGTCTTTCCTATAAACAAGCACATTCTGAAAATAACTGCAAATTGGAATATTCTTAAATTTCTAATGAGTTTATTGTAGCAGAACAGATAGGATGGAGAAATGAAATGAACAGCAAAAAGAGACAGTGTGATTACGTTTCCCCCACATAGTATTGCGTTACACATTGTCCTCCTAGTACTTTTCCATATAAACAATCCTTGCAGTTGTCACGGGGATGTTGTGAGATTATGACTATGAGAGAAGCTGGGTCACATGATCATCTCTCAGATGTGGTCCACAATGACAACTTCTGTGATAATGATTTCTTAAAAAAAAAAAAAAAACTGGCATAGCCTTTTCTTTTTATATACTTAATAGTTCCTGAAAATGTCAGATTAGATTCTATAAAGGCTCATTCCTTAATGTTGTAACCTATTCTAAAGAATGTGAACAGATGTTGGAGGATGCCTGAATTTTTTTTTTTTTTTTTTATAAACTGAAAAAACATATTTGCATTACAAAATCTTATTTCAGTCAGCTCTAATCAGAGAAATTTGTAGTTTTTTGAGCACTGCTAACATACAATGAATTGACAGCTTCACGCTGTGTGAATGCCTTACAGGCAAACGGTTTCAGAGCCAAATGAAATTCACAAAGGCTGCTGGCTGCAGTAACCATTTCTCCTTGTGGTAAACAAGTTGCATAATATACAGTAGCTTCTTATGCCCACTTTAACACACGGTCATGCTACAGTAACCAGGAGACCCTGTATCTGATTTAATGCTTTGATATAAATAAATATTTCTCTTAACTAGGATAAATCAGAAACTGGGTATTCACATGGGGTACTGATTTTACTTTATCAAAATATATGATGGCTAATATTATAGAGTGTATTATCTGTGCCGAAAAAACATCTGAATTAAGCCTGCTTTACATTGAGCACAGTTTGCTATAGGAATCGCTCCAGTTCCCTTCCAATCTTCTTCTTCAGTCTCTGCAAATGATTTTGTACGCAAAGTAACTGCTATGTGCCATAAGCAATAAGGAAAATATGAAAATCACTGACCTCATTAGAGACAAACTAGTAACAGATACCACAAAAGCTAATTAGTTGGAAGATAAGGCCTTTTGTGAACTGATGAAATCCCACAGGCCCACAACTAGAAAAAGAGCTGAATAAAAAATGTGGGTCTGAACCTTCCCAAACTGTAAAATTTGGGATCCAGACCAAAACTTCTCACCTCCGATCCCTCTCTCTAATGGGCTCTGGATCTGAAAACCATGCAATTTGCAGCTTGGACCTTCCTTCACCTCTAATTGGCCCAAACAAGAACCTCAGAGCTGAAGTCCACCTGAACTTTGAGAAAGTTTGGATCTGGAACCAAACTTCAGGGGGTTTCGCCCATTACTTTTCATAATATCATGCTCCCACAGCCCAGCACCCCACAAAACAAACAGTACCCGCTGAACTGGAAAATACGCTGACTACCTCCTACAGGACTTGAAATTCCTGGCTATGATGCCTCTTTATACCAATCCTGCAGTCTGTGGTAAACGCAAGGAATTACAAGGGTTACCAGTCACTGTGTGTGCAAACAGAATATGCTATTGTAAAGATATATAAACTGGAATAGATTCATGCTGCTGAGAAGTTTGCAAGCAAATTTATGCAAGACTTGAAGGAGTGGAATTTGTCATGTCTGGCTTTTGTATATGTTCATGACAATAATGGTAATGGTGTATTGGCAACAAGACCACAAAAAGTGAGTCCTTGTTTCACATATACCTCTGACATGACCCCCAAAGATGGATTTGCCTGTGGAAGCATGGGTAACACAGCTGATAACTAAAAGTTTTGATGTACAGTTTCACTTTGATACATTAGCTATGACAGCTTTGCAGTCAAAATGGTTTAAACTCAACACTCTTCATAAATGTCTGTTTATGTAATGAATGAGAATTGCAACTGAAACCATAATGTAAATTTGACTCAAATTGAGATCTCCCCACAAAAATTTGATACACTAGACTTTAATTACTGCAAGTTATTTACATTAGAAAAACTGAACCAACTGAATTAATACTAATGCTGAGCCATTCCAAGTTCCCAATCCCATGCTCAGACCACTATACATCACTGATTCCAGTAAAGCAAGAATCTTAGAATGATGTTGGTTTAATTTCTTTAGCAAAGAGAAGGGAAAGAGGAAATTTGAGTAGGAAGCATGCTCTGCCAACTCAAGGAAACACCTCTTGATTATTAACTAAGCCATTTCTAGTGTTAGAGGCCCAATTTGAGGCTAGATATTATTGAAACTGACTTTGAAACTGGTAATTTACAATAATTCTACAGAAGTGCCACTTAAGATCAAATTACTACATGTAAACAAGGTTAACTGGGTTCAAGCAGATGAAACAATGCCTTAAGACTTTGGACAATACAAAGACAGCAGCGAACATCAATGTCACAATTAACTTTTTAAATACAAGTGGCATTACAATGAAGATTCTTTCATAAATAAAAATGGCTTGTCCTTCAGCCCATTGAAAAAAACACTCCAAGGACCAGAAATGGCCCCTTTAAAAAGAGGGTAAGAATAGAGTGTGTAAGTATGATGAATATGAATTAAAATTGATTGCATCAATCTTTCTTTATAATCTGATATTGTTTTTCAAATATAATAGCAAGGACCACCCCGGGATTTATAGGTTTCAATGTTCTTAACTACTACTTTTTTCATTGGAAGGCACCATAATAAATCCTTTCAATTTCTCAATGGCAACATTAGGTTCACTTAATTAATTCAATATGAAAAAAACATATACACTAGTAACCATTCCTCTCTCCCTGTTGTTCATGAGAAATGGGATCTATAATTGTTTCCATTAAGCATTCAAAAACCACAAACTTTGGGCTGTGCGGGGGTGGGGGAAAGAAGAATCAGACCCGGTATAAGCAATGTACACTATTCTGGAACATCAAGTAACACATAAATGGCACCCAATCTTGTATCAATACATACAATTTCAAGTTAGATCTTTATGGAGCACAAAGTAGAAGCAACCCCCCTTGTATAGACCTTTTTCTATGTTTGTATAGTTCCAACACAATGGCACTGGGGCCTGCATGCTCTACCACAATAAAAAGAAATAATAATATATCTCACTTACTTCAACTAAAAGAGGATGACTTTCTGCTAAGGGATTGAAGGGTATAAATAAGAAAAGTGCTGGTCCCTTCTTCAGTTCATTGTTTAGTAGAAGGCTTTTTCCTCCATGTGGTCTCAACCAACGTATAAATGTCTCTCGGTTTTCTAGAGCCCACTTGCAAATATTCTCAGCTGTGTAGTTCATGACTTCACTTGGATAGATCTTGAAAGGGGAAAAAATCATAATTAGTCCTCCTCATTTATTTAAATACACTGTTTACTGATGAATGAGGTACATAAGATGTCCGATACATGTTATATTGGTACTGTTACAGCTCTGACATTTTTAATTTACTGACACTATTCAGTAACCATTCTCACCTTAGTCATCATTCCATAGATCTTTCCCTATAGATACTCTTCCCTACTCCTCTCCAACTCATAGTACCATGAGTAGAATCTCACAGTGAAGTATGGCTCACTGTATTTTCAATTCTCAATTCAGACTTATCAGATGGTGATCAAAAGCAAATTTAAAGCAATTTATTGTTTTCTCGTATTCTTTTGTTTTCCAACCAAGCCGTCTCAATGCTGGTAATGCTTTTACCTCTGTATCAAGCAGCTCTGATAGAATCTTGAACTAATACTCCCAGCACTCCCTTAACTTCATTGTATTATTATTTCTTTGCTGAATGCTGATAATGTGGTTAGAACTGAAAAGAAGGTCCCTGCCTAAAGGAATTATGAAATCAACACCCACAAAGTGAATGTTAAGGTTTTACCCTGCATCTCTAGTGTATGTTATTTTATCCATAAATAAATAAATAAATAAATAAATAATCAGACAGGATTTTCAGGGTGACAGACTACCTGGGCAACACCTTTATGTTCATAAGATTAAATTTTACCAGTTGTTATATGGTAGAAGCTTTGACAATTTTTGTTACTCTGCCTCTCTAAGGTAATTCCCACATTCTCTTCTGATTTTTCTCAAATGCTTATTTATAAGATGTTGAGGACCATAGGTCTTATACAAAATAAATGCTCTCATCATCTTTATGCATCTTTCCTTGCCATCCACCTACACCTGGAATTTTCCTAACATAACGGCCTCTGCAAAGCCCATTAATGATAACCCATGTCAGTAAAATTTCAGTGTCTCAGCTATTATAAAACCAAATCAAACCACCATTAAAACAGAACCTTCCCTCTGGGTCTCCAAGTGGATTTTCCATTATCTGTCTATTTAGACTGCAAGGTTCTTTGTGCAAGAACCATGTCTTCGGTATTATAGATAGCACATAGTTGGGCTTAACAAATTAATGAAATTAATCCCATCTGCCCCTTTTCAACAATAAAGTTTGACAGACTGGAATAGATAAATTGGAATAGAAATAAACAATTGCATCATAATCCTTTAGCATGTTAGATCTTATTTGTAGATGATAAAAGAATTTTGATTGGGAAGGTTATATTTAACTCTCACCTGCTTAAATATCATATTAGTCTTGTCAACAACATATGCTCTACCAAGCAGGTTCTTTTTTACTTTTATATTTTCTTACACTCAGATCCCCTGACCACTCTCCCTCCCTCCCGGAAAATGTGTATATTTCTATAAAAGTGTGTGGAGACTCTGGGCCATCAATATGTATCCATTTCAAAACTATTTCCAAAATGCTTCTCAAGTGACTTTAGATCTCTTTATTTCTCCTCTACACCTGATACAAATCTCCTCTTGTGTTTATTTTCACTAATGTGAAAGACCTCAGTTTCCAGATTAATATTGCCACTCACCTTGATTTATTATGGTGGGACACCAGAAAAACCTCCCCACTATGTCTCTAATTTCATCACATTGACTCTCTTTAAATGCATCTCCTTTAAGATCCTGACGTAGCTGTGATTGCAATTCAATAGCTTTGGTATCACTGACTGTGATTAACTAATTCAATGTTCTAAAAAAAGAATTTAAATTTTGGAGTCACTTTCATGAATTAAAGCATGCTGTTTATCATGCACCATTATCATAGGTTTGCACAGACACCAGTTACTGTTTCATGTGATACATGAAAATCCTTCATCATGGTTTGAGTAGAATAAACTGTAAATACATGCCTTATCTCCATATCCACTGTTAACGAGGATATACACAGAGATAAGGTCTTTACACCGAACAGCTATTCTGAAAGTTGCATTTCAGGTCCTTTCTTGCTCCTCTAGCTTCATCAATTTCAACCAAAATTAATATTCCCAGCTACTATGAACATAGCCGACACTAGGATTAGCCTTTTTGAGTTAACTCACTTAAGTAATTTTTCTACTTGAGTGTGATAAATCGGGTATCTTTAGAGCAAAATGAGTACCGTACAAACAAGTATATTTCAGGGTGGCAGGGCAAAAGCACATCTTATTTTCATTTGAGCTCTCTAGAGCCCCTTTGTCTTCACATTTCTGAAATATTTTGCACCAGAAGAAGATGGATTTTTGTAATGATACAAGGAAAGCATTTATTTTTCCCAAAACAAAGAGCAGATTAAAGCTTCCTACTAAGGAAAAATACATTAAACATAATTAACATTTCCATTAACAGTTATGTCCAATCCATGTGCCATTTCTTAACACTGAAGGTTACAAAATTCCATACATTTGAGTATATTCTCTCACATTCCTTGGTAATCAAAGGTTTGTTGACCTCAAATTTGATGGCAACCAACCCTTGTGGGTTATTGTGAGGTATTAAAACAATTATTTGGCATAAGAGAACACTACTGTTTTGGCAATTCTGTTCAGAAAATAATTGACTTTGAACACTGTTATAAACCAATTTAATCTGCCTTTGTTTAGAATTCCTCTCCACTTTATGGACTGTACATAGTTCTGAGCCTCCCACTAAACATCTGCAAATCAAGGCAATTGAACACCACAACATATGTATTTATTATTAAAGAAAATGAGAGCATGCTTATGTATAGCAGCAGCCACTTTTGCCCAACTAAATCATCACACCATGTGAACAGATGATTATAACCAAAGACTATGGAATAATCATTTACTTCTCTTGTAATTAGAAACTATTAAAAACAGCACTTTTCTAATTATACTATCTTTCTCCTAATTACATTGTAATTGATAAAATACATACAGAATGTTTGTATGAATAAATGATATAAAAATCTGGGTCACTAAAATTTGATCTAACAAAATCAAATAGAAATTTAAATAATAACCACTAATTACAAATGTAAACACACCAGTATGATAAAGAATATCTTATCTTTTTCATTTAGAAGTGTGAAAATTTCATATTTTATTTTAGAATGACTGTTTAATTTCTTCCTAGAAACTGTTACATGACTTTTCAGGCTCAAAACTTTCAAGAAAACATTCACTTTCATTAAACAAAATCATGCACAGCAAAAGCTAACTCAAAAAGATGGAGAAAAGGGGAGGGAGATAGCAATTTGTCAAAGTCCTGCATTATTAAGAAACTGTTCTTGGCTATCTCATTTTCTGTAGAACCTCTTTTTGGGATGCACCCATCTCTCGGGGAAATTTGCTAATCTCTTCTGACTAGTTTTCATTTTCTCTGCTGGAAATTCCCCACTTCCCTGTGATTTCCAGTTTTCGGCAGAAAAGAGAAATGAGACAGCTAGCATAGGCTGAGGTTTATGTTTTGCTGTTATTACAATTACCCCACCCACACAATCCCCCTGAGGTTTGGCTTGGACTATATACCATGCAAGTGTATACTACAGGGAAAGGTGAGAATATCACTTGCTTTTGCTTACAATATTTTACTTCAGTGGATTTTTTCAGGATCGAGTGTTTCAATGCATATTGTATTTTCATTTGTCCCAATACAATTTTTAAATGGAACAATATATCATACTGACTGCCCTTCCCCTCTCCGCCCTTTTAAAAAAAAGTACTCCTTATCACCAAAGCAATATTCAGTACTTCATTGCAGTTTCTGGTATATGAGTTTGTTTTTTCTGAGAAATTAATCATAGGAAATATGGGGGAAAACTATAACATGTATGATTACTGGTGCACCTATGTTGTAAAGCCAGCAGGATTTGGTTCATTGTGGTCTGTGTTTCTCCTAGGTTCTTATCAAGTAGAACTATCAAAGAGACTGAAGGGTATAGCAAGAAGGATCATCATCAGAATCCCTACCTTTCTACTTATTACACCCTATGACTTCTCTGATACCAGTTCCAGTATATTGGCAGCATGGATATTTCATGTATGGAATGGAACTTTGAAGTGGAAGTTTCTTGTTCACAGCCATCACAGAATAAGTGATAAACTAATTCCGTCTCTTTTTGGCCACTAAAATTCTGTTGCCACTACTGGCTTTTCCTTCACATCATTCTCATTCTGATATCATTTATTCACATCTATTATCCCAGACAACATAATTTGTTTCCCCTGATACAAAGGCACTACTCAAGAGCTGTGAAAGACAGCCAATATAATATGGAATTGATTGTTTACATTATAAATGGATTAAATATGGACTGGGGCAACATGCTCCTCTCTATCAAATGTTTTTCACACTAAACCTTTGTTCATTTTGATATACTTACTAAATGTAGGTGTGTCCCCCCCCCTTTTTTTTTTTAGTGAGACAAAGACCCTGTACGGACCAAGCTCATGTGGCCTCACACCTCGGAGCTCCGAAGATGGTAGTATCCTTCTTAAAGATAACAAATCTATCAAAGAGTGCTGGAAGAAACACTACCAAAAGCTTCTAAATCGAGAATCAACTGTGACTGACAACACCATCGACTCCATTCCTCAGTACCCAATCTGGGAAACTCTTGCAACCCACCAAACACCCGAGGAGGTCTGCAAAGCAATTTAAAAAATGAAGAACAATAAAGCACCAGGTCCCGATGGCATAGCAGTTGAAGTACTGAAAGCGGGGGGAGAAATACTAACGAGTTTCACTTGCTGCTCCTCAAAATCTGGTGCACCGAAGAAATCCCTGCTGACTTACGTAATGCTAACATCGTCACCATTTTCAAAAAGGGAGACAGGGCTGATTGTGGCAACTATCGAGGCATTGCCATCCTCTCCATCGCTGGAAAGATTCTTGCTAGAATCTTACTGAATCGCCTGCTCCCTCCTGCAGAGGAAGTACTTCCAGAGTCCCAGTGTGGCTTCAGACCATCACGAGGCACCACCGACATGATTTTCACAGCCAGGAAGATCCAG